CTTTCTATCTGCACGTGGAAATACATTAAAATCATCTAATTTCAACCCCGAAACAAAAACTTTGTTGTGTTGTGATTGATGCTGTAGACTAGTAACTGGTGGACCTGTTGTGCATTCAACTATGGCTCGCTATATCACTCTTTTTGAAGAGGGAGAGCTTTATCGACGGGTATAAAAAACGGTCCTGAAGGTGCCAACCTCTCATGTCAGCGAAACGTTTAGAAACTCACTTGAAACGAACGACGGTCAATAGTTCTAAATCGGAATAAGAATAACAATAGAACATTTTCTGCCTGCCACTAAGAAGGCTTGTAATTGTCGTCTTACGTTTCGACAACGTAGCTGGCATCCTCAGGAGTTGATTAAAATCATGTAGGAGGTACAACGTAACAACTGAGGGTTAATGAAAGTCGACTGTGCAATACAAAGTTTCGTTGTGCAGTTTTAGAGTGAGAGTGAGCCCAAAATCGGCAAGTGGGCCGGGAAAATGCAAACCCCTCGCTTCATTCACTCACTACGAAGTAGTATTTCTTTTGTGCACGGTCGATTGGTAGTCGTCGCCGACAGACAAATGATCATGTAGTAGGACATGGTATATACTCAAACTTCCGTTCGCCTAACGTTCAACAAAAGTAAAATTAGCTCGCTTTACTCTAGTGACTTTAGTCTTAACCGCGTTAGCACAGCGTCAGGACGAAGCAAACGGCTGCAGCCGGTCTTTCTCCGTGAGTGCTATTCTTTTGTTGTGAAGACATGGCCGAGACCATCGAAGAAAGCTATGAGACAGAGGTCCGTCGGAAGATCGTCAGGACCAAGCTGAATATCGAGGAAGTAAGTGGATCGTTTCATTTTCGAAGTGCCAGATTTCGTGACGTAACGAACTGTCAATCGCATGTTTTCATTAGGTTTTTCGTTGTTTCTTAATTTAGAAACGGTTACATAAAAATCCTTTGGGGCTGGCGGAATTTGCCACCAGTGATGTTTGTGGTCGATCAAGGATGGATGGGACGAAGCTAAGTTGGTTGTTTTCGAGTTAACTAGCTTCGATTAGGTACTCCCCCTTTTTCACAAACTTCATTTTGAATCGACTTTGAATCGAGAAGTTGGCGATTCAAATCATAGAACACCAAAATACAAGCATGCT